GAGTGGATCAGACACAGCAGTGCTGCTGGAGTTTTTAAACACCTCAGTGTCACTGCTGGACTGAGAATAGTCCACCAACACAAACTGTGCAGCAGCAGATGAGCTGTCGTCTCTGACTTTACATCTGCAAGGTGGACTGACAAGGTAGGAGTGTCTAATAGAGTGGACAGTGAGTGGACACAGTGTTTAAAAACTCCAGCAGCACTGCTGTGTCTGATCCACTCAGACCAGCGCAACACACACGCAACACATCACCACCACGTCAGTGTTACTGCAGTGCTGAGAATGATCCACCACCCAAATAGTACCTGCTCTGTGAGGGTCCATGGGGTCCTGACCACTGAAGAACAGGGAAAAAGGGGGCTAACAAAGTATGCAGAGAAACAGATGGACTCAGATCCACTCAGACCAGCGCAACACACACTAACACACCACCACCACATCGGTGTATGTCTGTGTTGAAACATTGCAACCCCTGGTTTTCACCACCGGTAAAGAAATCGTAGTCAGTTTTTAAACATATCAAACCATTCTGAATGCTGTATAGATCTCAACTAATAATATCAATTAATATCTGCAGAAATGTTTAAATATCGGTCAACATTATCAGAAGAATATTCCATTGTTAATAATGTAATCAATAGTGTTTCATCAGCTGTTTAGTTTGGAGCGCTTGGAGCTGGGTTGATGTAAATTTGCCTCACCACCGTTGATCAAATCGTCACAGTGCCACAGTGAATGAAGCGTATTTATGTGGGGTTACTTGAGTTCAGGTTTTCCAGGGACAGTATGAAGCTGGACTTTGATTTCGCTCAGCTATGTCTGGCTTCGGCCAAGTGACCTTTCCCCATTTATGTCACGTTGTGTAATAATTTCAGCTGCTTGCATAAGGAAGAGCACACTGCCTGTCTGACCTTGGGATGTCCAGTTCAATCTGAAACGTCTGTCTTTATAACTAATAACATCTTGTGGCTTGACATGACTTAAACACACTGTGGCCAGATGAAGCGCGAGAGGGAGGAAGTCTGGTATGTAAAGTTGGGACAGTGTGTGAAATGCTAATGAAAACAGAAAGCAGTGATTATTAGTAAGTTATGCTTTGACCTGTATTAATGTTTGATTGCAATATTTGATGTTTTATGTTGTGAATATTATTGATTTTGTTTGTTTTTATAAATATTCTAAACTTGATTCTTGCAGCATGTTCCTTTAACAGCACGTTATCATTTGTAGACCTTTAGTTGACCCAAATTTGAAAGTGGAATTTTTTGCTATTCTTTTGTAATACAAGTCTGCACAGCTGTACCTTAATTGTTGTTTTTTTGCTTCATAATACACTCTGCATTTTTAAATGGAGACAGGTCTGGACTGTAGGAAGGTCAGTTTAGCACTTGCATTCTCTGATTATACAGCTATGCTGTTGCAACACATGCAGAATGTGGCTTGACCTTGTCATGTTGAAGTAAGCATGTACGTCCCTGAAAAAGACGTTGTTTAGAAGGCGGCATATGTTGCTTCAAAATGTGTGTATTTCTTTCAGCATTAATGGCGCCTTCACAGACATGCAAATTATCCATGTCATGGGCTCTAATACACCCCCATACCATGATGGACTCTGACTCCTGAACTTTACACTGGTAACATTCTGGATAGGCCTAGTGCTTTTCTTCTTTGGCCTGGGAAAAGAGGACATCCATTTTTTGCATAAACAATCTGGACTCGTCAGACCACAATACGTGTTTTCACTTCACGTCAGCTCATTTCAGATGAGCTTGAGCCCAGAGAAGTCGGCAGTGTTTCTGGACATTGCTGTGTATAGTATGGTCTTAACTCATATTTGTGGATTTTGCATATTTGTGGTGTTTTTTGAACTTTTTTAAGTATTGCCAAAGCTCATGGTGATACTCATCAGAGAAGCATGGCGGTTTTTATTGCAGTGCTGTCTGGGGGAACGAAGGTCATAGACATTCAGCTATGTTTTGGCCTTGCCCTTTACTCAGATATTTCTCTGGATTCCCAGAATCTTTTGATGATATTATGTACTGCAGAGAGTAGATGAAGTCCTTGGTAGGACTTGTTTAGACCATTCTCCAGTATCTTCCTAATTTTTTTCTTAAATTTATTTTTTGTTAAAGGTCCTAAGAAAAAGTCTATGTCAGATTCATGACGTGTTCTTAAACCGCAGAACTGTTCTCACCTTTCTGCTCTTGAGAAGAATTTATTTAAGAATGTTTGATGAATGAAGCCCATTGTTTTTAACCTGCTGAATTATTTGCTGATGCAATTTTTGGCAAAGTGGCGAATCTTGACCCTTCCTTGTTCATAAAGGTCTAGGCCTTTCTTTTACCCAAACGTGACCGCATCACCTGTTTGGGATGTTTTCTGTATGTTTCACATAGTCTTAAATAGCCCCTGTCCTAGATTGAGCATATATTTAGAAAAAAAGTTGATACTGTTTTTGTTAAATTACCATCAAAGTGGATTCACAAATCACAGCTTTCTGTTTGCAGTTCACATACTTTCCCATGTTTTTTTGGAATTGAGGTTTGTAATTATTCATTTAAAATTCTTTGCCAGATATTCAATCTGTAGTGAACACTGATTCCATTTATGGAGACACTTTTAGTTGCATAGTTTGTATTTTTATTTATTTATTTATTTATTTTTTTGATCAATGTTTAATTGAGCCGGTTTTGGAAAGTAGCCGATGCCAGTCGCTTGTATGTGTGTATATCTCAGTATGTACTGGTCTGTATGTCTCTCCTGCTGAGAGTCTTCGACCAGCCATTTTCAGCTCCACTGTTTCCATGGCAACTGGCCTACTCTTACAGCACTCCTTTCCCCGAATGACCGGCCCACGACATGAAATGCACCACAAAGTGTGTTATTGTGTGTATTAACCTACTTCCTGATATTCCACAATCACAGAGTTAATCTGTGATTTTGCTGATTTTTTTTATTTTTTTTTTCCTCAAAAAAAAAAACAACAAAAAAACAACAAAAGATCTGACAGAAGGACTTTTGTGTGTTTATTGTATGTTGGCTGATTTCGGTGTGGTCATAAAGAGTGGCTTACCGGCTCAAGCTCTAGCCAGCTGGCTCGGGGCTGCATTCTTGACACTTTAGTCATCTCGCTTTCACTGACTCGCGTGTGGTTGCTGGGCTTTCATCAACACAGAGTGACGCTTGCACGTGTTTCAGAAGCATGCACTTCAGACCGGACTGGTAGTGTAGCTTACTTGCACCATAAGTGACTGATGAGGACTCTTGTGGGCTTTTTACCCATGGACTGAGGGTAAAATCATGCACATACATCTCCACAGATTATGCCACCCATGTCTATCTCCATAGAGGCTTGATTCCTCGTCAGATTTCTAGTACAGGACATCAGATCTTGTCTAGAAGTGAGCTGCTGCATCTGTCTTACTCCAGTATAACCTAGATAAAAACACGTCCTGTCAAACGTTAGGTTTGCCAGCAGAACTGAACAATCATTTTTATGTAGAAACTGCAATTTAAAATTTACAGCATGCAGTTTTCAAATCACAAGAGTTGCAGTTTTATCAACAAGTTTTAGGTCTGGAAGTTCATGACAAACAGACCAATAGAAATGGTCCAAAACGTCTTTGAATAAAACTTTTTTTTCAACTTATATTGTTTTCTTGGCCAAAATATAGTCCTGAATCTAATATGAAATAATTGCAATTTAAATTACAGTCATAATACTAATTGGAAAAATCGCATTTATATAATTTCTCCAGATCATTCAGCCCTCAACAATCAGGGCAGGTTGGTTGGTCGTCAGTGATTATGGGAAAACGCTGATGTTGGCTCAGGTCTGGTTTGTTCTCGCACTGCAAAAAATGATATCTTCGCAAGTGAAAACATCTTAAATCTAGGTGATATTTCTCATCAGGAAATCGCTGTAAGAATAGTATACAGTGATTTAACTTATTTCTGTTTTTGTAAGAAATTTTATTTAGAGAAAATGTCTTTTTTCCATTGGCAAATAATTTTGCATATTTCAAAAAATATTTCTTAAAACGAGCAAAATTATCTGCCAAAAGAATAAGACTATTTTTCCAGCTGCACAAGAAAATGGCTACAAAATGAGTTAAATAATCCCATAATATTCTCACAAAAATCCCCAAATGAGAAATATATATATCATTTGTATTTAGTTATTTCATTTACCAAGATCTAAATTTTTGCAGTGCAGACAAAAATTTCTCTGTTGTTGAGGTTTGATGTTGAATTTCAGACTTATCATCAGGAGATCACGAGTTTGATCCCTGGTGACGCTACAGTCATCCGGGGCCAGGAGTCTTAGAGGGCACAACTGGCCTCTCTCTCTGGATGAATAGGATGCCCCCCGCCCCATCACTCAGCGCGACGCTGGTCAGCACAGGCACCTGTTAGGTGACGTAACAGATCTGGCGGTTGGCGCTTTCCTCCGAGCGCGTTTGGCTGTCCAGTGACGTTGCGTGAGCGGCAGTTCGAAAAGATGTGGTGGCTGTGTTAGCCTTCACCCTCCTAGCGCTGAGGGTATCGTGTGACTGGGGGAATCCTAACTAGCAGGTGGAACTGGATATGACAAAATTGGGGGAAAAAAAACGAAATCCAAAATTTCAGGCCTTAAACTCTAAACACACTCCTTCCATTCAATTGCAGTACACTACAGGAAGTGCTGGTGGCAGTATAACCCTTTCTGTTCGGTTGTGCCATAGAAGACAAAACATGCTTGTTGCCTGGATCAAACTTAAGCCCTGTAGTAAAGGCAAAGTGAGGGGAATCAGCATGAGGCATTTGGACCAATTAGTTAATCGAAAAGTGATCAATAGATTAATCATTTATAGAAATAATCAAAGTTGCAGCCATATTTGCCAGTGTGTTGCCAGGCCTGCCTAGCAGTGTTGGCTCTTTTTGCCCTCTAAATTAGTCCAGACTACTGTCTTTGACTTCATCCTCTCCCATTCTTTCTCTCCACCTCTCCCCTCCAGCCTTCCCCTGGTTTGGCATGGACATCGGTGGCACTTTGGTCAAGCTGGTCTACTTTGAGCCCAAGGACATCACGGCAGAGGAGGAGCAGGAGGAGGTGGAGAACCTGAAGAGCATCCGCCGCTACCTCACCTCCAACACGGCCTACGGCAAGACGGGCGTGCGAGACGTGCACCTGGAGCTGCGCAACCTCAGCATCTGCGGCCGCACGGGCACGCTGCACTTCATCCGCTTCCCCACGGCCGCCATGCACCGCTTCATCCAGATGGGCCGCGACAAGAACTTCTCCAGCCTGCACACCACGCTCTGCGCCACCGGGGGCGGGGCCTACAAGTTCGAGAGCGACTTCAGGACGGTGAGCAAAAAAGATCAAATACTGAAACTTGGCAAGGGGTCAGAAAACTGGGTTACCAAGAGGACTTCTTAAAAAAATGGTCACGGTGATGGTGAGCAGAGCAGGTTTAGCAGGTTGGAGTGAAGGATTACTCTTTTGTCCAAACATGGGATCCAATTAATTGGAGAAAAATAAAGGGAAAAGTTAAAATAGATTCCATTTACACAATTTTTCTCGTACACCAGGTCAGTCAGCCATATTCAAGACACTGAAAGTAATGGAAGCTTAAAGCCACCAATGAACATTATGCAAATTGCATACCTAAATCATCACAGTGGCCTCAAACTAGCGCTGGGCGATATGACCTCAAATCAGTATCACGATTAATTGAATGTTTTACCTCGATTATGATTAATGAATGATTATTTTTTGGTTTTATTTGTTTTTTTTGCCCTCATAGTTCACTGAAGGTTTGTACTGTAAATTTGCTCTGCATATCTTAATGTAAATCATCTCAACAGCCAGATCGGAATTCACGCGGCTTTTACGTCAATCCAACTCAACGTTCATCATAATTTTGCGCTGCTGAGACTCATAAACATTTGGGCTGATGTTTCTGTACAAACAGTAGAAGAGACTCATCCAAAACCCTCCGTGTTTGAAGAGATTCTGAAAGAAATGTCCGATCGCGGCCGCAGGAGAACGAGGCTGCAGCGTCAAAGAACAGTTAAAAGTCTGAAAGCACAGTTTAAAGAATCCGAGGACGCGAACCAAAGAAGTGACCGCGCCCTTTTTACGGCTCGAACACATTCTGGGTGATGAGCCCAGCTGTCAGTCAGTGAAGCTTCATGATGGCTCCTGTGATGCTGGAGAAGATGAAGCTGATCCTCCGGGAGCGACTGGCGTTCACTGGCAGCCGTGATTGTTTACCTCTGGATGAGCCGTGAAGCAGCGTGACGCTCTGTTCTTTTTAGCATGTGGGTCAGTTTAGGAGCTGATCTGTTCAGACTGATGTCTCATACAGATCACATTTAAAAGATAATGTAAACGGCCAAACAAAAAAGTTGCAGTCTGGATGTGGCGGAGTCACGTGACGACACGTAGTAGTACGTTTTAAGGGGACAGTACATGAACACACAGAGTGAGAAAAGGATTAACAGAATAAAGAAAATCAAAATAACAGACATGGGCAAGATTACATCAGTTAGAGGTTCTGAATGTCTGTTTAGATTACTTTTCGATTAATCGCCCAGCCCTAACTCAAACTGTGTTGAGTTGTTAAGTAATCTCAAATAAACCTGTTTATGTGGTTTCTGACACTGTATGACACTCCAGCTAGGTTTCCCTCCGTGTCTTTTATGCATAATTTGACATAAAATAAATAAAGACTTGATGGAAACTTTGCATAAACGTTTTCAGGTGGATCTTTTTTTCCTGGTAAAAGGTGTGTTCAGTAAATAATGGTAGGAACGCATTTTCGGAATGAGTCAATGCAAATAAAAAAAGTCACTGGGGTTTCGTTTTAGTCTCCAGTCACAGCTACGAAACATGACAGAAGGTAGCAGGTACCCATTTACTAAACATACCTTTGGAATATCTTATTGGGAAAAAAAAATGTAATGGTGATATTAGACGGTAAACAGGTAAAAGGTGTTTGCCACAGATCTTGAGTCATTGCCTTTTCTCTCTGCACTCTTCGGATGTAAAACACAGCCAACAAATTAACCAATGCAGTAAAAGGAAGGTGCATTCAACTGGATGGAAATCCGCCTTTTTTGTATAATATTTTACGACATTTACAAAAAGCCAGGGATGGAATGGAGGCTACCGTGCACAGTATAACGAAAGAGGCCCAAAAGATTATCTCAGAGGAGGCGATGAGGATGAGATTTAGCAGGCGGTGCCCACATTATAGAGCTTAATTCCTGGAAGGCTGCAAGGCACGGCGCTAGGATGAGGTCAAAACACTGTCCAAAAACAGGGGCAAGGCTTTAGCTGCAGTCTTTGCTTTAATGCAGTGCTACTTCCTAATGAAGTGTCTTCTGCTTACATCACCCACACGCTGTGTGCGCATTCACTGGAAGCGGTGATTCAGTGATAGCTGAGCACATGCCCTCATTCTCTGTTTCCTTTAAGGCGGCTGTCAGCTTTTGTCTTTCATCCATTCTTCACTGTTGACTGTAGGGTCCCGAATAAATGTACTTGGTAATTGACTTTCAAAGAAAGAACAATGTTGAGAATTTTGATTGAGAGATTATTTCCTCTGTTGGATTTAAGTTGGAAGACGTATAATCGGTCAGGGCATATTTTTGTTGGCTTATGTGAGCCACAGTCCGAAGCAAAGTCTTTTCAAATGAGCCAAAGAAAATTATAAAGGAGGAGGAGACAGTTCACTGGTTGGAAAATGAATGAGAAAGCTTGTAACGCTCAATCTGGCAACTGCTTCTGGGGAAAGAGCCAATCAGCTCGCTAGGATTAAGCCGTCTCCTGTTGTGGAGATATATGCATTTGTCAGATTTTTACCAGTGATTTTAAATATGTTTTTAACAATAATGTGGCTTTCAGGTTCAGGTTTATACCACTCACTGTCCACTCTATTAGACACTCCTACCTCGTCTGTCCACCTTGTAGATGTAAACTCAGAGACGATAGCTCATCTGCTGCTGCACAGTTTGTGTTGGTCATCCTCTAGACCTTCATCAGTGGTCACAGGACGCCGCCCACAGGACGCTGTTGGTTGGATATTTTTGGTTGGTGGACTATTCTCAGTCCAGCAGTGACACTGAGGTGTTTAAAAACTCCAGCAGCACTGCTGTGTCTGATCCACTCAGACCAGCGCAACACACACTAAGACACCACCACCACGTCAGTGTTACTGCAGTGCTGAGAATGATCCAGCACCCAAACAGTACCTGCTCTGTGAGGGTCCATGGGGGTCCTGACCACTGAAGAACAGGGTAAAAGGGTGCTAACAAGGTATCAGAGAAACAGATGGACTACAGTCTGTAACTGTAGAACTACAAAGTGCACCTATATAGTAAGTGGAGCTGATAAAATGGACAATGAGCGTAGAAACAAGGAGGTGGTCAGAATGTTATGCCTGATCTGTGTATGATGACAATAGTAGGTATTTGACTTACATCCTCAGAAGACGCGTCTTTCACCAAGTTCTCTTAGAATACTCTTTCAGTACACTTGCAATCATCAGATTCATCTCCTCAAGGAAGGGGTCCGAAGCACCAAAATGTTTTTCCACACGTTTGCGTCAAATTACCTATTTCCACCAGAGAGCTCTCCGAATCCACCAAACTTATGTAGTGTAGCTTCAACCTATTAACCATCCTTTCTCTTTTCATCTCTCTCTTTCTCTGCGTAGATGGCTGATCTGGAACTGCTGAAGTTAGATGAGTTGGACTGTCTGATCCACGGGCTGCTTTATGTGGACTCGGTGGGCTTCAACGGCCATCCGGAGTGTTACTACTTTGAGAACCCTTCCGACACGCAACACTGCGTCAAACGGCCCTGCAGCCTGGACAACCCCTTCCCCATGCTGCTGGTCAACATCGGCTCAGGGGTCAGCATACTGGCCGTTTACTCGAAAGACAACTACAAACGGGTCACCGGAACCAGGTAAATGTTACAGACAGCGAGCGTTCATAAACATTACCAGTTTCGCACCGTTTTGTGTTTTCCTGGCGTGACACACAAGAAGTCTGTCTCACAAAACTCGTTCAGTTTCGACAGCGTTCCTGACTCACAGCTTCACAAAAACCTAGTAAATTCAGCAGTGGTTAAATGATTAATGAACTTTCTCTGTTAACCCAGGTTTAGATACATAAGCTAAGATTAATCCTCGTGCACATGCAAATGAAAGCATTACGTTTATGATATTTGTGCGTCATCCACATAGCCATGAGAACTGACTCCATGCTTCTGTAATAATGTGCATTAATGGTAGCATGTACAATGAAAAATACAAATGAGCCTAACACAGAACCTTGCAGTACACCGTAAGAGATAACATGTTCACTGGAATGGCACTGACCTACACTAAGAAAGTACTGTCCACTGAAAGTCGACCCATTTTTCCACAAATCTGGGCTATAAACTATGAACAGATGGCATCTCTTCAGTGATCTGCTCTGTAAAAATTATTATTTTTATAAAATAATACAAAGAGCGTCTAAGATTTTTGGCTTTTAGCAGTAAATTGTAAGCATATAGCAATATGTGTGATCATAAAACACATGTCCTTTTAATTTGAGGGGAAGCTTTTACCAAAAAAAAATTTACATTCATTTCATGCAGTTACTGAATAATTTGCCTTATGATTTGGATGTAAATTCAGATGGAAAAACCAAAATATACCCTGGTCAATAAGAGGTTAAGGCCAGAAATGGGAGCCTAATTTTTCGAGGTAGTTCATAGTCTATGATATATTGTTATTCTGTAAAAATTAGATGACATTTGATGTAAGATGTGCCCAAAGTTGACTGCTGTTCCAGTCAGTTCCCTAACTGCGAGTTGGTTTATGCATCAAAAACCTGTACATCCTGAACAGTAAATGGGCCATTTTGTTGGGGGGGCATCTCCCCCTATTGTTCCAAAGACCAGTGGCCACATGCATAAAACATCTCAAGTATATATCCTAAAGCTGTATGTTTCAATTAAAGTTTTGCAATGGTCAAACACTGAAGTGCTGAAACTTGAAAGCATTACGTTTATGATAATTGTGCCTCATCCACATAGCCATGAGAACTGACTCCATTCTTTTTTTAATAATGTGCATTAATGGTATCATGTACAATGAAAATAGAAGTGAGCCTAATACAGAACCCTGCGGTACACCGTAAGAGAACATGTTCACGAGAGTGGCACTGACCTACACTAAGAAATTACTTGTTTTTTTTTTTGTGTCCAACCCCTCTAAGGCCAGAAAAGGGAGCCTAATTTTTTCGCGGTAGTTCATAGTCTATGATATATTGTTATTTTGTAAAAATTAGATGACATTTGATGTAAGATGCGTCCAAAGTTGACTGCTGTGCTGACTTTGAGTTGGTTGAGTGGCCCATTTACTGTACATCCTGAACAGTAAATGGGCCATTCTGTTGGGGGGGGGCATCTCTCGCTATTGTTCCAAAGACCAGTGGCCACATGCATAAAACATCTCAAATATATATCCTAAAGCTGTATGTTTAAATTAAAATTTTAATATGGTCAAACATTAAAGTTCTGAAACTTAGCGTTCAAAACTTTAATTTACAGTGATGCTTTTTTTTTTCTTTCCGTTTTACACATTTCACTGGTGCGATTTTGCACAAGTCCATTAAGATAAATAGAAAACTTAAGGCCAAAATATGTATACGTCTGTCATTGATTACATAAGAAAAGCTGTGTTGCAGTGGTGTTGAATGGCTTTAAATATGTTTGTTTAAAATTCAGCAGTGGCTGACTGATTAATAAACTCTCTCTCTTAACCCAGGTTTAGATACTTAAGCTAAGATTAATCCTCGTGCACATGCAAATAAAAGCATTACGTTTATGATACTTCTGCATCATCCACATAGCCATGAGAACTGACTCCATCCTTTTTTAAATAATGTGCATTAATGGTAGCATGTACAATGAAAATAGAAGTGAGCCTAACACAGAACCTTGCGGTACACCGTAAGAGATAACATGTTCACTGGAATGGCACTGACCTACACTAAGAAAGTACTGTCTACTGAAAGTCGACCCATTTTTCCACAAATCTGGGCTATAAACTATGAACAGATGGCGTCTCTTCAGTGATCTGCTCTGTAAAAATTATTATTTTTATAAAATAATACAAAGAGCGTCTAAGATTTTTGGCTTTTAGCAGTAAATTGTAAGCATATAGCAATATGTGTGATCATAAAACACATGTCCTTTTAATTTGAGGGAAGCTTTTACCAAAAAAAAATTTACATTCATTTCATGCAGTTACTGAATAATTTGCCTTATGATTTGGATGTAAATTCAGATGGAAAAACCAAAATATACCCTGGTCAATAAGAGGTTAAGGCCAGAAATGGGAGCCTAATTTTTTCAAGTGAGTTCATAGCCTATGATATATTGTTATTCTGTAAAAATTAGATGACATTTGATGTAAGATGCGGCCAAGGTTGGCATGTTGAGATGTAGATGTAGTTACATTAGCAAAGAAAAGGCTTTTTTGTGAATTTTCCCATAGCAGTGCAGGAAATGGAAGCTTTTAATCTTGACCACAATCATGAAATGTGTGCATGTGGGTGTACATGCACACGTGTGTCTGCTGAGCTGCCTGTTTATGGTTCAGGTCGTGACGTAATACAGAACTTTCTATCAGCGCTGCACTCCAAGGTACACCTCTAGTTATCTTTGGTTACTGAAGTTGTGCCGTTACAATGGTTTTTTAATGAATAATTTTTGCTGATATGGCCTTTTATCTATAGACGCAGATAAGACTGAATGGTCCAAAGTTCAAACCTGACACTGTTGTCACAAACTGCTAATTATTGCCTGAGATGGGCTTCTGTCACAGTACAACTTTACAGTGTGTGTTTGCATGTACAGTCATATGCTGGTCAAATGACACGTTTTGTTTTTTTTTTTATGTGAGAATAAGTTAATTATCCTCTACAGGGAACAAACTTAGATGCCGCATTTTTCTGCAATATTTTGTGTGCAGTTTTTACTTTTTTTTAAATGAAAAAAATATGAAATAATTTTATATATATATATAATTTTTACTGTTACTGTTTTTTTTCCCCCTAAATGTTCACTTCAGCAAATTTACAGTAATTGTGCATTAAAATAATGAGAATTTGTACATATTTTCACTTAGAAATTCAACAAAACGTGACCATGGCCTCCCAAACTTTTGCATATTTTGTGAGTCCTTGGATTTGTTTCCATTATTGAAGTGCTGAATATGGATAAAACATTACTGAGGTCCACCATTCCATTAGTCTCAGCCCACAGTTGCACACTAAACTGTCCACACCTACTGTGATTTTGTCAGTGTTCTGATTGGCTCTCCACACGTCCATGTGTACGCACTTCTGTCCAGCAGTTTTAATCTGAAATACTGAAGGTTGCCTGATACCCATAACGGGTCTTTTGGAATAAGCTACATAATAAGCTTCATATTTCTCTGAAGCATTTATAAGCTAGTAAACAAGATATCCTCATGAGTTTGACAGTCCATACAGGTGTGTTTTCTGTGGGTCTGTTTTTGTTACAGCTGCGTTTGGAATATCATCACACAAAAAGAAAGGTCTGCGGTTAGTTATTTTGCATGTCAGTCAAACAGCCCCTTTCTGTCAAAGTAGGTGGTTCTTTAAGTCAGGTCAAGGCCCAATCCCATTTCTTCTTTTTACCCCTGCTGCTTGTTTTCGAGTGTCACCCTAACCTCTTGAAACCGAGTTACAAGGGGTAGTGGTTGAAATCTTGCCCTACAAAATGGGACCTTCAAATTAAAAAAGAAAAAACATTACTTCATTAACAGCTACTAGCGCTGCTCTGTAGGTGACCCGGCCCGTCTGCAGTGACAGCAGAGGAGGGTAAAGTTCAGCTCCTCACTGCTGGGCTTTAGTTACATTTAGGGCATCATATGCCTTCAAAGAGGGGGGCAATTATTTATTATCACCCACCCGCTAATTCTTCAGTGATATGAAGCTGAAGTCAGATATTCACCAGCTTCTTGTTCGAATTTTCCCGTTCCACCTTAAATGGAGCAGCAGTTACATTCTGGCGCTTCAGGCGTCAGAACTGCTGGACTATTTAAGGTGGAACAGGGAATGTTAGCTAGCTAGCTACTGAGACATTAGCAATTTAATAAGCGATTTTTTTTATGCTTGTTATGAAGAAAACGACCAAAATACACTAAAACGACATTAAACTAAGATAAAACAGTGATTATTGTAATTTTTTAACTTTTTTGTTTTGTCATTTTTCTTTGGTCTCTTGTTCTCCATCTTGCCGGTTTTTCTTTTTTTCTCATAACTCTCTGTTTGGAGTCTCTGAAAAACCTCTGTTTGGAGGGTCATGTAGCCCCAACACTTCACCCCACCCCTCTATCTCAACAAGAATCGGGACATCCTGCCCCTAAACGTGAACGCACAAAACAAAGGGCTAAGGGCTCAGTGGTAGGGGCGAGGGGTGAAATGGGATTGGGCCGAAGTCAAGTCAGGCATGGTTGATTTTTTTGGTTGATACAGTAATTCTAGCAGCTCACATTGTTCAAGTGAAGTATGAAAAGTGCAAAAATGCGAGTATTCAGATCTACAGTCATGTCAAATGAAGTCAGTGAAATGCAGTAACTATATTTATACAGTGTTCCATAATTTGGAACTGCAGCACCATTTGTCGGACCTGGAGAGGCCGCTGTGTGTGTTACTGCGCCGCCATCTTCAGAGTTAATATCACTACGTTAAGCAACAAAACGCAGCAGACTCTCTGGATGGTTGGCAAGACTACCATTAGTGGCCATTAGCCACCAGACGTAAATAATAATTGCTGATATGTATCTGTTGAGGTCTTAATTAGATGATTCCACGATTAAACTGGACTACCGAATTTTACAGATATATTCCTTCTTGATTAATCGGCAATAACTTGTTGGCAGTTTGTAAAATATACGTTATCTTTTACAGTAAGAACCAGAGCCATATGGATACATATCGTCATTTTCTAACAAGGATTAATGGAGAATCTCCATTCAGAATGCTGTGTAATCCAGGACTAGGCTCGATCCCTGTCTAGGAAACCAACCCATAGTGTTTTTGTGTTTGTTTTAATGCTGTATTTTTGAAACCTTTTTCTCATGAAGTGTTATGGGGGATTGAAAGCTCATGCATAGTTTGTTATTGTTTAGCTAAGTTTGTTTTTTGGCCCTTGTTAAAAAACTCAATCATCAAAAAAAATCTGTAGTTTATTCAGTTACTAATACAATTGATAGGAACCCCCCTAGTCTTAATACAAACTCTGTCTTTGTTTCTCCAGTCTTGGTGGAGGGACGTTTTTGGGGCTGTGCTGTTTGTTAACGGGCTGCGAAACGTTCGAGGAGGCTCTGGAAATGGCCAGTAAAGGGGACAGCACCAATGTGGACAAACTGGTCAGGGACATCTATGGTGGAGACTACCAGCGATTCGGCCTGCAGGGCTCGGCCGTGGCCTCCAGGTAAAGGGTGTGTGCATGTGCGTGTGAGTGTGTGAGTGTGTGTACGTGTGTGTGTGTGTACGTGTGTAAGCAGCATTACTCAAGTTTCAAACCCCCTGAAGGTGTTACGGTGTTAAATGTCACAAACACAGCTCTGAATGTAAAAACATGCACTCAGTGCCATAAAGAACTACAACCCCAATTCCAAAAAAGTTGGGACGCTGTGTAAAATGTAAATAAACATAAATAAAAACAGAATGCAATGATTTGCAAATCTCATAGACCCATATTTTATTCACAGTAGAACATACAACAAATCAGATGTTGAAAGTGAGACATTTTACCATTTCATGAAAAACATTAACTCATTTAGAACTTGATGGCAGCGATGCATCTCAGAAAAGTTGGGACAGGGGCAGCAAAACCTGGAAAAGTAAGTGGTACTAATAAAAAACAGCTGGAGGAGCCAGTTTGCAACTCACTCACATGACTGGCTATAAAAAGAGCATTTTAGAGAGGCAGAGTCTCTCAGAGGCAAAGAGGTTTGCCGATCAGCGAAAAACTGCATCTAAAAATTGTGGGACGATTTTAGAAAAATGTTCCTCAACGTAAAATTGTGAAGACTTTACATATCCGCAAGCTACAGTACATAATATCATCAAAAGATTCAGAGAATCTGGAGAAAACCCTGTACGCAAGGGACAAGGCTGACGGTCAGTACCGGATGCTCATGATCTTCAGGCCTTCAGGCGGCGCTGCATTGAAAACAGGCATGATTCTGTACTGGAAATCACTGCATGGGCTCAAATGCTTCCAGAAATCACTGTCTGTTCGCTTTGCAATCCACAAATGCAAGTTAAAGCTGTATCATGCAAAGAAGAAGCCATATCCAGAAACGCCGCCGTCTTCTCTGGGCCAAAACTCATTTAAAATGGACTGAGGCGAAAATGGGAAACTGTTCTGTGGTCAGATGAATCAAAATTTTAAATTCTTTATGGAAACCACAGATGCCGTGTCCTGCGGACTCGAGAGGAGAGTGACCATCCAGCTTGTTATCAGCGCACAGTTCAAAAGCCTGCGTCTCTGATGGTCTGGGTCTGCATTAGTGCCTATAGTATGGGCAGCTTACACATCTGGAAAGGCTCTATCAATGCTGAACAGTATATAGAGGTTTTGAACAACATATGCTGCCATCCAGACAGCTTCTCTTTCAGGGAAGGCCTTGCATATTTCAGCAAGGCAATAAACCACATACTGCATCCATCACAACAGCATGGCTTCGCAGAAGAACAGTCCGGGTGCTGAACTGACCTGACTACAGTCCAGACCTTTCACCAGTAGAAAACATTTGGCATATCAGGAAATGAAAAATCCAGGAGCAGCTCTTGATCAGGCAAGAATGGGACAGCATTCTTCTCCCAAAACTCCAGCAATTGGTCTCCTCACTTCACAGACGTTTACAGACTGTTGCTAAAAGAAGAGGGGATGCTACACAATGGTAGAGACGGCCCTGTCCCAACTTTGAGATGCGTAGCTGCCATTGAGTTCTAAATGTGTTCATGTTTTTCATGAAATGGTAAACTGTCTCACTTTCAACATCTGATATGTGTTCTGTGTTCTATTGTAAATACAATACGGGTCTAAGAGATTCACAAATCATTGCATTCTGTTTTTATTTACATTTATGTACATAAATGGCCTAAAAACAGGTTCCGTGATCCATGTGCCAAAGTCAAACTCATTGCTTTACTATACTATTTCCTGTCTGCTGTGTTAGAGCACCTCATGCTGCAAGAACGACACAAGAGTCAAATACCAAAACAGGTGGATTATACAGACAATACAGTGCTGATGTGCATGGTTTGATTTTGAATTCCTTCGTTTGGTGCAGACTGTCGCAAACATGCATGACTTTTAGGGCGTGTTTATAATTGTAGTTCAGTTTGCTTGGTCTAGACCAGGAATATCAAACTCAACCAGTAAAACGGCCATATTAAAAAATCTCATCGAATCCGTGGGCCAGAAAAAAAAAGTGTTTTTATTCAATTTTGTAATCGGTCTTGTGCTGTAATCCAAACTGGCCATTGTTTATCCAGAATATGCAAAAACCTTAGCAGAAATATAGAGACACTTATAGTAGACCTTGAAATGTAACATGAAGACTTAAAATATTCAAAGTTTAAATGTCCCCAACTCAGTCTTTTAAACCTACCTATTTCCTTAAACTAGACACCTGTCATCCTCTCTTCGCTGCAAGTTCTTTAAGACTTCAGCTCAGTTTCTTGGCTGAACTGCAGCTGAACTGCAGCTGGTGTGTTTGGTGGTATGACTGGTTTAGGACTGAGGTGTAACCGCTGTCCCATAGACTGCTGTTGGGGTAGGAGAGGGTTTACATTGCAGTGCATGCTGGGGACTGTAGTGCAGCGCATCGTGAAACGAACTAATATTAATTGATAATGAAAATACTTTTGCAGGCCGGATAGGATTGTATGGCGGGTCTGATCCGTTTGGGTTTGACACATGGGGTCTAGACCAGAGCAGAAAATTATACATTGTTCCATTTTAGTTCTGGTTTGCTTAGCGTTCACGCTGATTATTATTATTTAACATCGAACCAAAAGATGTCATACAAATTAAAAGGTCACGACTGATCGGGAAGGTTTTATGACGTACAATAAGTCTGATAATGTCCACCAAACTTTCTGAATCACGCTGTTCTCTGTTCTATCTGGGCTCATTGGTCTTGTTTATTGTTCTTGTTTTATCTGTCTTCTGATATTAGAGCAATAAGCCATGAGACTCTCAGCGCTGCTGTGGTTCTGCACATCACAAAGCAAAGGGAAATCTATAACAGCCTTGAGCGACTCCTGCTTTACAAAACAGAGGAACCTTGGCACATTAATAAATAATACAGCGCATCATGTGTGCAGTCAAATGTGTATACTGAGTGTTTTATAATGACTTAAAACGTTTTAAAACCCAAATTATCCGTTCTAAAGATTAGACCGTCCATTTATCCGTCGTTGGTCTGTATTGTATTCATATTTCAAATGAACTGCATCAGGTCCGCTTATTTGGTGTGGAGTTCTTGAGTGGCAGCGCTCTCATGTGTGCAGTATCTCTCATCCCTGACGCTGGAGGCTCACTGCTCTGCTCGTTTCAGTGTTTTCTCTGCTCCCAACACACCTGATCAAACTAATCAGCTCATTAGCAGCAAATCATTGAGTTAAATTGGGCGAGTTAAAGCTTGAAAAGCCCAAAAATGTGCAAGGCAGTGGGCCTCCAGGACCAGGGATGAGAAACACTGCTCTAATGAACCGCACTAACAGACCACCAGGGTTCATATCAGTTGAATCATACCTGCAGAAGCAGACTAAGACCATGGGTTAGTTGTTTAGTGTGGACCTGAGTATGAGTGTTGTGTTCACACCTGTGAAAATAAACCGAATTAAAGAAAAAAAATCAGTAGGTCCGCATAAAACAAGGTAGGTGTGAAAGCGCCCTTGGTGTTTACCTGCTCCCAACACTCCTGATCCCACTAATCAGCTCCTCAATAAACCCCTACTGTGTGGTAGTGCACTAAATGTCCAGAGGTTTTGGTTTCCAGGGTTGGGAAATGATGCATTAGCATTTTCAAGTGCCTCCATTGCCACTAGTCCAAAACCAAGCTTGTTCTGTAACCAAGCACCACCCTGAGTATTCTGGTTCTCTGAAGCAGGCTTGAACATGCTGAACTTTGTTCTAGTTAGTAAACAATGTGCCGAGGGAGTATGTGAGGCGCGGCTGTGGAGGTTGTTTAGTGTCAATAAGACAGGTCTGAGGCCTGTGTGAGTGTAGGGTAAAGTTTAGCCAAGGTCAAAGCTCCGGCTTCACCAAGAAAGCTGATTTGGCTCTCCGGCTTTGTGTAATCGTCACTACGTTACCCTCGGAGTGTTAGAGAACATGCTGAACAAAGCTTCCCTATGTTTCAAGGAATGCAGTTCATCCTCATAGTGAATCACCTAGTGCTTGTAAAGTGATCCAAACAGCGAATGTGTTGCGTGAGAAGATCAAGCTGTACTGTAGAGGGATGGAGAGTAACGGAGAGTGAGTGGGTGAAGTTAACGGTTGCTCTTTGTTCTTTCTGTGTGGGTGCGCTCCAGTTTTGGTCACATGATGAGTAAGGAGAAAAGGGACACCATCTCCAAAGAAGACCTGGCCAGAGCAACGCTGGTCACCATCACCAATAACATCGGCTCCATCGCGCGCATGTGTGCCGTCAACGAGGTAAAAAACAAAAACATCACAGCACTTGCAGGGATTTTCGAGGCATGATCTGCGGCATATTTTGTTTACTTTTCTATATACACCGATCAGGCATAACATTCTGACCACCTCCTTGTTTCTACGCTCATCGTCCATTTTATCAGCTCCACTTACTATATAGGTGCACTTTGTAGTTCTACAGTTACAGACTGTAGTCCATCTGTTTCTCTGATACTTTGTTAGCCCCCTTTTACCCTGTTCTTCAGTGGTCAGGACCCCCATGGACCCCTCACAGAGCAGGTACTATTTGGGTGGTGGATCATTCTCAGCACTGCAGTAACACTGACGTGGTGGTGGTGTGTTAGTGTGTGTTGCGCTGGTCTGAGTGGATCAGACACAGCAGTGCTGCTGGAGTTTTTAAACACCTCAGTGTCACTGCTGGACTGAGAATAGTCCACCAACCAAAAATATCCAGCCAACAGCGTCCTGTGGGCAGCGTCCTGTGACCACTGATGAAGGACTAGAGGATGACCAACACAAACTGTGCAGCAGCAGATGAGCTATCGTCTCTGACTTTACATCTACAAGGTGGACTGACAAGGTAGGAGTGTCTATTAGAGTGGACAGTGAGTGGACACAGTGTTTAAAAACTCCAGCAGCACTGCTGTGTCTGATCCACTCGTACCAGCACAACACTCACTAACACACCACCACCACGTCAGAGTTACTGCAGTGCTGAGAATGATCCAGCACCCAAATAGTACCTGCTCTGTGAGGGTCCATGGGGGTCCTGACCACTGAAGAACAGGGTAAAAGGGGGCTAACAAAGTATCAGAGAAACAGATGGACTACAGTCTGTAACTGTAGAACTACAAAGTGCACCTATATAGTAAGTGGAGCTGATAAAATGGACGTTGAGCGTAGAAACAAGGAGGTGGTCATAATGTTTTGCCTGATCGGTGTAGTTTTATATTGCTTTCTAACAAACCTTAAAATTCAATTTCAGATTTTACTGATTCAAAATAATAACATTCAAATTCACATTATTTGCATTTAAATTCATATTTCTAATGGAGTCCACTATAGCAGGCCTTCATTTGTAGTTGTAATGGAGGAAGTATTAGTGGCTGCAGTCGCTGAGTAACCTGAACTGTGTGATTTTCATGTTTAATAATGGTTATAACAACAAAGCTTTAAGATTGAGCTTGTTTCTGCTGGCGCCGTCATGCCTGCTGGGTAACCGTATATCACTTTCTTAAGGGGAAAGTGCCAGAGCTTTCTCTCTGTACGAGTCGAAAGGATTGCTATCTAGCACAGCCGACTGACAGTTCTCACATTATTATCGCTTATCAGCAATGAGACCCGCCACCTGAAGCAGCCTGTCCAATACATATTAATGTGCATTTGTGTTTTTAGGTCTGTCTGGTTTCTCTGAGCTTCTTTACAGTGTTGCCTTGTAGCCTGGGGATCAAGCAGCATTGTACAGGGCTATCAGAGCGTCCAGAACATCAGCTGCAGAACATGAGTCGGTGCTCTATCAGTTCTGACTGCATTAGCTGTTCAAAAGCTTTTATTGCCATTGAATTAGAAGTGTTTGTTTGTTTATGTTCTTGGAACCAAAGTTCACCATCACAAAGCAGCGTGGACGCAGACTTCAAGACTTAGTTGAGCAATTTTCCAAGATGATGTTGGTGGATGACCTTTTAGACCAGCCTCAATTATTTTACAGCTCAGCGCTGTGTTTTTCACAGCCATAGAACTTTTAATTAGCAGACAATACACTTCTGAAGTCGTGCGTCATTCTGCAGTTGGCTTCATGCTCATGATAGCAACTTTGGGTCTAAGCTGGTTTTCTCCATTGCAGAAATGAATGGCGTTCAGCACTGTCCTCCTGTGGTCAACTAAAATGTTCCGAATCTGATATGTTTTGTCCCGAGTGCCTCTGAATTATACGTCTGTGTTTTAGGGCCACTGTTAATAAAAATAAAAATAGTAGACTCCGAGAATAAAAAAAGTCGTACTATTTCGAGAAAAAAGTCGTAGAATTACGACGTTAAAGTGGCATTAATACCAGAAAAGGTCGCAGTTTTGTGGCCAAAGGCTTTGCGAAGTGAAGGCAGCACCTCCTCGTGTTAAATGAGGGGTGGTGAGTTGGTGGAGTTCTACTTTCATATCGATTCACCCATAAAGAAACACTCAGTCTCCCTGTCTCTCCTGCACATCAGCACCAGCCTGTTATTAGTGTAAGAACCGGCTGAAACGGCTGAGCAGGAAACTGTGTTTATCTAGAATAAAGAGCCAGACGGACTCGGAGGAAACTGTCTGTCTGTGTTGTTGAAGGAGAATCTCAGGCAGGGTCGTCTACACGGCTATCGGGGGCTCCATCTCCCCCCATTCAAAGAGGGCATGAAGTTTCACAGACAGTGAGAATGATGATCAAAATGATCCACAAAGAGACAGGAGTGAGTGGAGCTCCGGCGCCAGTACAGCAACCGAGACCCCAACGCGTTATGGCAGCCCCCCTACAGTTAGCCCCCCTACAGTTAGCCCCCCTACAGTACAGCAGCCCACTTTATCCTCCAAATATTACGACTTTATCCTCCAAATATTACGACTTTATTCTCGAAATATTACGACTTTATTCTCAAAGTCTACTATTTTCATTTTTATTAACAGTGGCCCTGAAACGCCGTCGTAGAATTATGAGGTAACTTGTGTGACAGATTCCTTGTTTGTGTAACATACTTGCCGAAATAAAGTGATTCCAATTCTGATGTTAGTTGAGTGCACAGCAGTGTTAGCGTGCATATTTTGGCTTCTTATCAGCCTCATAATTCAGAGGATCTGGTCAAGTTTAAAGAAAATGTTAGAAAAACTTATTGGCTTTGGAGCATTTTAGCCCACCAGGACGTGAGTGCCACATGACTTCAGAGGTCTAGTTGACCAGGCATATTAGGCTACGTTCACATTACCAGGCTGAAGTGGCACAAATCTGTTTTTTTGCCCTAATGTGACTCAGATCTGATGTTTTCAGGGCTGTGTGGACACACATCTGATCTTTTCAAATCCGACCTGAGCCACTTTCATATGTGGTCCTAGATCAGATACGTATCCGATTTGTGGCCATGCGACCTTAAGCTACGTTCACATTACAAGCCTCGTTGCTCAAATCCGATTTTTTGCTCAAATCTGATCTCACTGACACGATGGTTCACACTCGTTTAGGTAAGTGACTCAAATCTGTCATTAATGTGACAAACCAGTGTCCTGAAATGACCTGCATGAGCTCATCCTACTCAGTAACGTCACGTGAATGAATCACGTGCATCATCAGCGCAAACTAACGAGCAGAACGAGCTTCGCTGAGAAGATAATTAACTCTGATCAGCTCTCAGCTTCATTATTAGAGCGAGACGAAGGAGAAAAAGGTGAGATGAGCTGCTTTTCCACCGTTTACAGGCTTTAACTTCTGTTCGGCGCTGTTGCCATGGTAACGCTGAATGATGGCGCACGCGCAGTGGAGACAAAGCACATGAATTCCGCATGGCCGCGAATCGGATACGCATCTGATCTAGGACCACATATGAAAGTGGCTCAGGTCAGATTTGAAAAGATCAGATTTGCGTCCACACAGCACTGAAAACATCAGATCTGAGTCACATTAGGGCAAAAAATCGGATTTGTGCCACCTCAGCCTGGTAGTGTGAACGTTCAGATCGGAATTCATGTGTTTTTTTTCCCACTCTGCCTGCATCTTCATTCAGCGTTGCATTAAAATCGGATTTGAGCAGTGAGGCTTGTAATGTGAACATAGTTTTAAAGATACTAGATAACAGACTCCCCATGTTAACCAGCATTGCACTGAGGGATGGGGAGAGGGAGGACCATCGTACTTGCCCAGAGAGAGCGAGGACAGTTCTACTCTCTTGGACCTCTGGTCACAGATGGCTGTGGGACTGAACTTCTGATCTTCTGAAAAAAAATACTGACTGATTTCTGGCATCAAGATGGCTCCTACCACAGTTTCAAGCTAATTCTGTCTAGTGCAAAATTAAAGAAGCAAACTTCAGACACCGAACGTATCAATATATGGAAGCAGGAAATTGTGTACATTTGATTTTTCACCCTTCGTTTTAAATGCAGATACAGAGAGATGGTTCTCATTTACTTGGCTTTTGTCTTCCCCTAGTGGTGAAAGCGCAATAGTACATGTGGTTTTGTGGTTGAAGGATGTCTGTGGTTTGTCCTCAGAAAATCGAGAGAGTGGTCTTTGTGGGGAATTTCTTGAGGATAAACACGGTGTCGACGAAGCTGCTGGCCTATGCAATGGACTTCTGGTCTAAGGGACAACTGAGGGCGCTCTTCCTGGAACATGAGGTGAGTGTAAATGAAAAGTTTCAGCAGCTTTTTTTGGAAAGCTGTCTTTTGCAATACCACACCTCCAGCATAAACGTATAAGTCAGGAGTGATTCTGAACACGCCAGAGTGCTGACACTGCTGAGAGTCAGTCGCACACTGGCTGTGTTTACATGCAAAGATTTTTGCCAATCTGATTAAACACGATTACAGATTAAGGCTGAGGTGTTTATTCTCACTCAACTCAATAATCTGATAGAAAATCTTCTTTTTCATGCTCACTACAAGTAATCCGATCTAAAATGACTGAGAAAATGCTGAGAATGATCCAGCACCCAAATAGTACCTGCTCTGTGAGGGTCCATGGGGGTCCTGACCACTGAAGAACAGGGTAAAAGGGGGCTAACAAAGTATCAGAGAAACAGATGGACTACAGTCTGTAACTGTAGAACTACAAAGTGCACCTATAGAGTAAGTGGAGCTGATAAAATGGACAATGAGCGTAGAAACAAGGAGGTGGTCATAATGTTATGCCTGATCAGTGTATATGCACTGTTTTTGGTCATGTGACATGTGGTCATGATCCCCTTCCAGTGTGGTCGACTCTTCAGGTTCCATCTGTTGATCTCTGGTTGTCCCAAGTCACAACAGTGCTTCCATTAGAACAGCTGACCTACAACTTAAATCAGAAAATGTATAGGTTCTGGCAAATTCGGCAGTTGTTAATATCTTACCTTGAGGGACCGTCCTACATAGTCAATTATTTATTAATTATAAATAGTTAATTTTTCTTCCCTCCCTCCTTTACTCTATAATGTCCATTGTTAACCATGGGTATGTATGTCCTAACTGTATCTGCGAACCTGATTGTGCGTGCAAATAAAATGTTAATTATAAAAAAAAATAATAATTCACTCAAATTATTACTTTGCAGTAAACTACGGACACAGCAAATTCGTACTGGTTTAAAAATCATGTGTTTTATCAGTAATCACTCAAATTACAACACCTCCCCCTGTAAAACTAATCCAGCTCCATCCAACAGGACTTCAGTATCAGTATCGAAGATAAAAATTCTGGTATTATGTCAACGCTGTAGTGCCGCAGTTCCCTTAGTAAACAATTAAACATCTTTTTTCTGTGCGTTTGTGTTTTTAGGGGTACTTCGGAGCGGTTGGTGCGTTCCTGGAGCTACTGAAGTCGTCTGAGGACCCCTGAGAGGAAGTCTGTCCTCGTATAAAATTGAAAAGCTGCTCAAAGGTTTTCTCGTGAAAACCCCCACAGGAATATGGGAATTCTGGGAACTACTGGGAAAAGCCATGATAGTAATTTAACTATAAAGAACCCTGAAATGATCCCGACCTGCTTTTATTGTAAGATAAGATGTTTTTATGACTAATTTAGACTCCCTCAGTCTGATGATTGTGTTTTCTTTTTTTGTATATAGATGTGTGTTTAGAGTCTAGAATGAATTCACTGATGGCCAAATCCTGTCGTGGTGAAACCTCCTGCTTTATGGCTAGACAGCTCAGAACTAAACCAGCTTTTTTTAAACCTGTTTTTAGATAAGCTATAGGTACGTGATCATTTCCTGTGGTCCAAGTTTGGAGTTGAACTAATCCAGGCTTAAAAGAGAAGTCCGGTCAGATACGGGACATATGGAATAGAGCCTGGGTCAACTCTGAAAGCCTGTGTGTGTTTGTATCTGAGTCTTGAGCTTTAGTAAAAGTCTTGGTGCAGCTGGCAGGCCAGTTTTGGTACTGTAACAATGACACGTTAGATCTACAGTTCTGTCCTACAAAAACGTAGCTTTCTGTGATCTTTGCTTTCGTTTGGAAAAATCAGATCCTGGCTTGAGATGCAGATATACTGTAGTGTGAGGGTTAACACTGATTAAACATGTTCTCTTTAGGGATGCACGATAAATCGGCATACCAATAATTGTGGAGAGTATTATTATTATCGGTCCGATACTGGAATTACCAATAATCGAAACCATTGGCGGCCTATCTTTGCTCGCATGTATAGTCACTTGTGGAGGGTATAGTGTGAACTAGTTGTAAAATGATCGATATCAGCCAAAAGAAGGTTAAATATCAGTTATTATTAATGACCCAGATCAGTGCATCCCTAATTCCGATAGGACTGGGACCTGTACCCACCTCAGTATAGAATGGGGCCTTTTTTGTATGTCCCTCTTCCTTTAACCTTTCCTGTTTTCTACCTTTCTACTTTTCTTTCTCACCTTTTCATTAGACCTTTTTCATGCCTTTGTCAAATGAGAAACATCAATTTTTGTGCTTATTGCAGTCGAATTACATCAGGAATTGACCCGCCGACGTGCGCAAAGCCTTTAGTTTTCTTGTGAGATGGCATACAGCCTCAGCTAGAGCTGCTCAAATGTGAATAATTTTGGTCAAAGATATTTAAGCCAGTCTTTGGCCTTGTGGCATCAGATGTTCACCAGTGTATTTTTGATATATTGCAACTGGGTAATCGTGATGTCCCATATTTTGCCCATATTATGCAGCTCTAGTGTTAGTCTCACAATCTCGTAACGAGAACACACGTTGGTATTGGATTGCAGTGAAATCTACTGTAAAACAAGGGTGCGTCCCCTTTAAAACCTGCCCCCAAATTCCTCTAGTTTGTGCTGATATAGTACAATTAATAACACAAGCAAAACAAGCAAGCTAGCAAAGAGCATCGTATACTAAAGCTTAAACACCCCTGGTCAAATGACATGTTTTCTTTATCTTCTAAGTGAAAATAAGTGAACACACCTGTACAGGAAACATTCAAATGTGGCATTTTCAGCCAATTTTAGTACATAGTTTGTGCGGTTTTTTAATATTGGGAAAAAAATTGAGTTTTTGATTTTGGAAAAAATAAAACATAAAATATAACATGGGCTATAACTTTTGCACAAGCTCCATTTTATGTTTTATTTTTTCCAAATATGTTAAATTCAGCAAATGACCAGGATTTATGCCTTAAATTAAAGTTTTTTCCACTAAGAAAATCAATATAACTGTCATTTGACCGAGGATGCCCATACTTTTGCGCATGACCATACATGCTTGAATTTTTATTTTTGGGTGAACATTTTGTCTTGTGGTTATACTAACATGGGCTTGTTGTGCGTCTGACGGTGCTGACGAGCTCTACTTTGAGCTTCGTCTTCACAGTGTGTTGAATTGGTTTAGGAATTTGTTCCTGCCCCAGTAAATCTGCATTTCCACCCAAAATTTCTAAAGGTTGTTCCAAGATGTTCTCGTTACGAGACCACGTCTGGCCCCGTGAGACTACCCTAAACCCAACTGATCTGACAGTGGTCTCTTTTCAGGAATAGCTTGACCAAATACGTTAATGTGGCTAACTCTGGATACAAGCTTGAGCCACCAGTTAGCAATTGATCATCTCCAAAATGCCACTTCTTGGCTGTTTGCTATCATTCATGTTCAGCAACATTAGCCTTTTTGACTGGACTACTCCTTTAAGGTGGGACCAAGCTGCCAACAGCTTCCTTCCGATGGCACCGCACCTCCTGTGCAATGCCTCCTCCTTCACGTGCTTGATAGAACGCGTTGTCCAGAAAGCTTTATCAGACACCACGGCAGATGTTTTTGTATGTGGTCGAATGCAGTGCAGAGGCTTAATTATAAATGGGGCAGATGCCAAAAAGCTTCATTTCTACTGCGTTTATTACGAAGCGGCTCACTCAGCTACTAGAGCCAATACCCTCAGATATCCTCTCGTCTTCCTCATCTCTAACTGTCGCCTTCTGTGGTTTTGTACCCTTTCTTTTATCCCTAAACCAAGGCCAGCCTGCATACACTCTCATTGTAAGGCCCAATCCCATTTCTTCTTTTTACCCCTACCCCTTGTTTTCGAGTGTCACCCTAACCCCTTGGAACTGAGTTACAAGGGGGTAGTGGTTTAAATCTTGCCCTACAAAATGGGACCCTCAAATTAAAAAAAAAAATCAACATTACTTCATTAACAGCTACCAGCGCTGCTCTGTAGGCGACCTGGTCCGTCTTCAGTGACAGCAGAGGAGGGTAAAGTTCAGCTCCTCACTGCTGGGCTTTAGTTACATTTAGGGCATCATATGCCTTTAAAGAGGGGGACAATTATGTATTATCGCCCACGTGGTAGGGGCGAGGGGTGAAATGGGATTGGGCCTAAATGTCTACGAAGCTTTAGAGATGTCAACAATATGATGACTTATGGATTTTTCACTTTTTACTCTACCTTAACCCAGTTCTTTCCTCTGTATGCCTTTATTCTGTACATTATTTACATTGAACTCTCTTCTGATGTTACTCAGTTTGAATTAGACGCCTACTGTCATGCAAATGTTTGGGCAGCCCTGGTCAAACGACATGCTTTGTTAATTTTCTAAGTGAAAATAAGTCAAAAAACACACTTCTGCACACTTAAATGGACAATTTTGTTTATGTGCTCAGTTTACTCAAAACAGAACACGGATTTTTGCTTTGAAAACAAACAAAGTATGTAATGTGGTCAGAGCTGTTCAGACTGAGGCTGTTAACCACTGTGTTATCATTGTAGCCTATAATACTGCAGCCTAAAGGAGGCTAAAAGGAACCGACCGTTGTTTCTAGAGAAATGCCAAAATGTGGTATGTGGTAAACCGTTCATAAGAAGGCCTGTCCGCTGGTGACCTCAGTGAAACTCGACTTGAAAGTCGTTTGAGTAAAATTGAGCGCGCTGACATGTTGCTGCTCACAACTATGAACAGGAAACTCCATCCGTTTAGAATTAAAGTAGAATTTTTAATATTATTTCTGCAAGATTGAATAGTTGAGATGTAAACTGGATCAGAGTGGTTTGATGTGAAACGCTCTGTTCTTGAGAAACTTGCCAACTCAGGAGTTCTTAACAGTGGTGGTGGGAACCAGGGGTCATAAAATAGTGGTAAATCTAAAAAGTATGTTTTCTCTGGGGGCTATTTTGCCTTATAACTCCCTGCATGGCATCAGTTTTTAAGCCAATATCATGTCACAACCACTGTAAACCAACACCTCAGACATCGGCTGTGTATTCGTAACCATTTCATGTAATATCTGTCTGTTCGGGAGCTTTTAGGGACAAATAAATGCTCCAGACATCTGGTTCCCATCACCATCACTGTGAACAATTGTACCCGGTGAGTTTCTCTAGAACGGAGCATTTCACATCAAACCGCTCTGAATGACTCTGTTTACATCTCAGCCATTTAATTATGCAGACAAATTGAAAAATTAATGGAATTCCTCTTTAGAGGTCTAATCAGTTTCATGTGGGCCTTTGTAAACAGTTTCTCATCTGCTCTGGTTGCCTTCTCTGTGTATCCATTCTCTTCAAGTCCGCAATTGTCTTCTCTTTCTTTTTTGTTGTTGTTTTTGTTTTCTTTTTTTGGGTAAAGCAGGTCCTGCTGTGTTCCATCTGCATTTGTAACCCATTTTAGTTTGCCCTGTTCCCATGAAATGCTCTTCCGTGCTTTTTTTTCCCCTTTACTTTGTTTTTTTTTTTAAATCATTTTTAATGTTTAATGTCAAGGTTCTGTTTCAAAAACTCTTGAGATTACTCTGGCATTACTTTTTGCACAAATACAGAGATTAATATAAGTGCTGTATTTTACATGAAGACTCTACCTGACAGACGAGAAGTCCCTTTCACCTAAATGTCTGGTTTCCTTTTGTTTATTTTTCAGTTTTTATGTGAGATTTCAGATCATACTGTGTGTTTTTAATTTGCATGTGTGCACTTAAGGAAGAAATGAAACTTTTATGAACTGCTAAATGTGTCTATGTTGATATCGGACAGTGTTTTGTTGACCTTACATAACTAGCATTAAATGACTATGCTAGAAATCATGGTCAGAATCTAGTTGTTCTAGTTGTGTTTGAGGAAATGGAGCATAAAAATACCAACAAGTCGTTATGATGCAGTGTTTGGTGGGGAGCGAACATTTTTATTCACTGGAAAATGCCAATTTTGCCAGTTAGCATTACAACAATAATGGCCTTAGTGTTAGTCACATTAGGTCCTACAAGGGGAATTTCAGTCTTGGGGATGTAAACAAAGCGGTTCAGGGTGGTTTGATGTGAAATGCTGTGTTTTAGAGAAAGTTACCGACTCCGATATTTCAGTGGTGTTGATGGGAACCAGGAGTCGCAGTGTCTGCAGCCCAAATATAGCTATTTATTTGTCATCCAAAATGACCAGTGAACCGTCACTCATCTTCTGAGTTTTATATGTAATGAAAATATTGATAAAACAGTGGTAAATTAAAAAAAAAATGTTTTCCTTGGGTACTATTTTGCCTTCCAGCACCCTGCATGCACTAAGAATGTATTTAAAAAATACATTTTAGTAATAATATAATCTATAATAATAATAATTTTTATTTATATAGCACTTTTCATGCCGGTGGCAGCTCAAAGTGCTTTACAGACAGGTGATAAAACAGAGTTATACAAGAAATCATGAGTATTTATTTAGAATCAGAAGAAAATGAAACAGATCAAATTAGAAGATAAAAACCACGAGACGTAGAGTTTTAATTAAATGCTGAGTTCGTTTTTAGATGCTTCTTAAAAGTGAGCACTGAGCTTGACTGTCTAATAAAAGGTGAACTGAGCTCCACAGTTTAGAAGCAGAATAACTGAACGAGTCTCTCCATATTTTCTGTATTTTACAGAGGGTGTTTATAGAAGCTCAGTATCTGCAGATCTTAGATTACGTGCTGGAACATAAACAGACAGACACTCTGTAATGTAAGCGGTGCTTTAAGGTCATTTAGAGCTTTAAAAACTAGTAGCAGAGCTTTAAAATCTATCCTGAACAATACAGGCAGTCAGTGCAGCTCTTTTAAAACAGGAATGATCTGATCTTTCTGTGTTGTTTTTGTTAGGATGCTGCTGCATTTTGCACGAGTTGTAAGGGATGTATAGTTTTCTTAGGAAGTCCAGTAAGAAGGTCATTACAGTGATCAACTCTGCTGTAACAAATGCATGACCAAGTTTCTCTGCGTCACTCTGAGAGAGAAAAGGCTGAACTTTTAGGCCAAAACTTTATTGTAAAACTACCATAAACCAGTGTCTCAGGTAACAGGCAGCGCATCCATAACCATTTCATGTAATAACTTTGTGAGAGGCATTGAACTCTCCAGACTTCTGAGGAGTTAAATGTTCACGAACAATTCTGGCTCAGCCAGTTTCTCTAGAACGAAGCATTTCTCACCAAACCACTCTGAATGACTATGATTACATCATAACCATTAAATAATGCTTTTATAATAATACATTTTGAAGAATCAGTGCAATTCTTTACTTTTACGTCCTCAGAGCAGAATTCTAAATAGACATTTGTGTTTGAGGCATACACCGATCAGGCATAACATTATGACCACCTCCTTGTTTTTACGCTCATTGTCCATTTTATCAGCTCCACTTACTATATAGGTGCACTTTGTAGTTCTACAGTTACAGACTGTAGTCCATCTGTTTCTCTGATACTTTGTTGGCTCTCATTTACCCTGTTCTTCAGTGGTCAGGACCCCCATGGACCCTCACAGAGCAGGTACTATTTGGGTGGTGGATCATTCTCAGCACTGCAGTAACACTGATGTGGTGGTGGTGTGTTAGTGTGTGTTGTGCTGGTCTGAGTGGATCAGACACAGCAGTGCTGCTGGAGTTTTTAAACACCTCAGTGTCACTGCTGGACTGAGAATAGTCCACCAACCAAAAACATCCAGCCAACAGCGTCCTGTGGGCAGCATCCTGTGGGCACTGATGAAGGATTAGAGGATGACCAAGACAAACTGTGCAGCAGCAAGGTAGGAGTGTCTAATAGAGTGGACAGTGAGTGGACACAGTGTTTAAAAACTCCAGCAGCACTGCTGTGCCTGATCCACTCAGTACCAGCGCAACACACACTAACACACCACCACCACGCCAGTGTTACTGCAGCGCTGAGAATGATCCACCACCCAAATAGTACCTGCTCTGTGAGGGTCCATGGGGGTCCTGACCACTGAAGAACAGGGTAAATGAGAGCCAACAAAGTATCAGAGAAACAGATGGACTACAGTCTGTAACTGTAGAACTACAAAGTGCACCTATATAGTAAGTGGAGCTGATAAAATGGACAATGAGCATAGAAACAAGGAGGTGGTCATCATGTTATGCCTGATCGGTGTATATATCATCTGTATCACTGTCAACTGCTTAGTGACTCCACAGCTAATTGGGTTGCCACCTCAGGCCTGTAAAATTCCTGGACGCTCGATCAGTGGCTTGAATTTTTCGTTGAATTCAGTGGACAGGTAGCCATGCTAATAGTAAAGTCTAAGGTAAATCGATGTTGTGCTGCTGGGCTGCTTAGTGCCTGAACATGTCACAGTTGGTGCACAACTGTTGCTACACTGAGGGTAATCTGAAACAACATAACCCTTCATCTTTGTATGCAGACAGATGGTTTAATTGGATAAAAGGAAATGGTTTAACTGTATATGAAAATCTAACGTGAAATTCCTCTGATTCTGACATTTTGTGTCTGGAAGCAGAATTCTTTTTTTTCCTGGACAAGCAACCGAAATCCAGGAAAATCTCGGATGGGTAGCAACTTTACACTTTTTAAAAAGTTGGTTCAATTAAGAACCACAGGTCCTACATAGAACCATATTTATGGTGAAATGGTTCTTCAGATTGATGGAGTATGTGTATATAGCACCAAAAAAGGGTTCTTCTACTGTCACAGGCTTGACGTTGTAACAGTAGCAGAACCATTTTTGGTGGTCCTTTTTTCTGGACAGGCAACCAAAATCCAGGACAATCCAGGAAATTGGACAGGTGGCAACCGTACACTTTTCACCAAGATGGTTCTTCAAAGGTTTTTTTTAGTAAAGGCAATGGTTCAATTTTTAACACTTTTTAAAAAGTTGGTTCAATTAAGAACCACGAGTCCTATACGTGAAATGGTTCTTCCGATTGATGGAGAATGTGCATATAGCACCAAAAAGGGTTCTTCTACTGTTACAAGCTTGACATCATAACAGTAGCAGAACCATTTTTGCTGGTCCTTTTTTTCTGGACAGGCAACCAAAATCTTGGATGGGTGGCAACCGAACACTTTTTAAAACGATGGCTCTTCAAGGGTTCTTTTGTAAAGGCAATGGTTCAATTTAGAACCCTACATAGAACCATTTCATGGTGAAATCGTTCTTCAGCTTAATGGAGTATGTCTATATAGAACCAAAAAAGGTTCTTGTACTGTTACAAGCTTGACATCATAACAGTAGCAGGACTCGAGGTTCATAGGACCATTCCCATCACTAAAGAACCATCTTTTGTGTTTGATTAGTTTCAGGTTCCATTGGAAATGGCTTTCCAAACGGATCAAATATACTGTGATTGCTACGACAAAGGTCCTCTAGCTTATGCAGTTATGGTTGGAAGTTCTTGGAGGTTCTCTGTATAATTCATAATAGTGCCATCTGCCATAAAAACATTGTGAAGGTGAATTGATGCTTCTGAGGTTAAGCTGAAGTAAATGGGTATTTTGGCTATAGGCCTTTGTAACCTTACTATGCAGTCTGTGTGGTCCGTTCATCTCTCCTTGGTAAACAGCCAAATTACTGTCATCTAGTCACCAATATTGTACACAACTGTTTGGAGGAACATTCTTGGGTAAATGCTTTTTATGAGTTTTAAACATATAAATTGTGTTCCTACTGAATTTGTACGATGACCGACGTTTGTTTCTCAGTGTTGTCGTTTATTGCTCTCTTAACACTAATCTGATGGACCTTTGTGCTATTCAACTGTACATACGTGTAAATATTCTTGTTTTCTGCCTTTCAGAAAATCCTAAATTGAAAGCATTCTATGCTACAGTGCTGAAATTTTTGGCTTCCACTGATAAAATATGTAATCTGCTGCACTCAAAGGGTACGATAGTGTACTGACTGTACAGAAAAAGACATTTAAAGAAAACAAAAAGCATAATAAAGATATAACACTCAGCTACTGTCATGGTTTCTTTTCTAATTTCTCAAGAACGCTTAGTGACGTTTTGCCCATCAGAGCAGTGTTTACAGCAAAATATAAAGTCTTATCTAGAACGTCCATCATGTTTGAGGTACCTCTTTCACAGTGCATAAACTGAAACCACAAGCTGCTACTCCAACCTGGTCTCTTGAGAACCAAACTTGTAAAAAGTGAGCACAAAAAGTTCCTTTTACTCGAGTTTAGGAGCAACCAGGATCACTTGTACTTAATCTGAGCAAACCGATCAGTCATAACATTATGACCACCTCCTTGTTTCTACACTCATTGTCCATTTTATCAGCTCCACTTACTATATAGGGGCACTTTGTAGTTCTACAGTTACAGACTGTAGTCCATCTGTTTCTCTGCATACTTTGTTAGCCCCCTTTTACCCTGTTCTTCAGTGGTCAGGACCCCCATGGACCCTCACAGAGCAGGTACCATTTGGGAGGGGTACTAAAGGGGGCTAACAAAGTATCAGAGAAACAGATGGACTACAGTCTGTAACTGTAGAACTACAAAGTGCACCTATATAGTAAGTGGAGCTGATAAAATGGACAATGAGCGTAGAAACAAGGACATAATGTCATAATGTTATGCCTGATCGGTGTACGTTCCCAAGGTGGACTTACACTGTTGACCTGAGATCTTACGGCTGTGGGTCAATCTTCTACAAATTTCAGATGCAAATAAAGTCATTTACAGTGGTTTGATGTGAAACACTTACTGAGATTTCTTTACAGTGGTGCTTACAGGAATCAGGTTTTGCGATGTTCACAATGCAAATATAGCCAATTTATTGACTATCTAAAAACTACATGTATTTTGAGCTTCTAT